TCCACTGCAGGGTATCTGTTGAAATCCTAGTTGTTCCTTATGTCGCAAGTAAAGGAAGGGAATTAGGGTTTGGTCTCCTTGGTAGGTTTGGCTTGTGATGATGTAGTATGCAAGACAACCTCAACTAACTATGTTTAGTTGCCAATAGTACTTGAGTTTGTTGACGAAAGTTTAGAGCCATTTATTTTGGTATCTAATAGAGTCTTCCTAATACTTGACCTAATTAGGAAAGCGATTCTAAGTCTTGTTGTTGTTTGTTACTGTTGGAGCTTGGAATATTTTTGAGGACCTTGAAGGTGATAAAGGGTTATTTTTTTCTGAAAGCAGTGTTAGGCTTCAGAACTAAGCTTTGTTTTGCGAGTTCTATAGGAAGGGAACTAATGTCCTACAAGATGTTGGGACATTGTGTCAGCAACCGTGTCGATTCCTATTGCATAACAGATGCTTTGGGTGCCAGAAAAATGTGTGGTAATAACATATGTTTGGAACTTACTCTTGATTTGGAAAAGAAGGAATTTGGGCTTGTGTCTAAGATGTTTTATCCAGAAAACAAATCTTAGATTGGTGGGTTGAATAATGGGCAACCAATTGTTTATTTCTTGGTTCAGTTTATTTTTTAGTCAAGCAAGTAGGAAGTGCAGAGGTTGAGCTTAAGTGCTTTGGAGAAATATGTTGTCTCAGCCAGTTGTTCTTATATATGAAGTTCAATTTCATATTCGAAGGTTATTCACTCTAACATGTGAAAGGTCTTTCTGATCAAAGGAGTCGGACTTATTTTAGAATCTTGTTTGTGGCCAAGGAACAATTATGTTTGTATTAAGAGAGTTATGTGGGTGTGCACTAATCACATGTTGTACTGCTATTATGGAGGTAGTCGTGTGATTCTCAGGGTGATCATAGTAGATGTTAAAGAAGAATCCCTAATATAGAGTTGGAAATTCTTGAGATGTCAGATATAATATCCTGATATCTTTGTGTTGAGAATTTATTTTTATCAACTTGGTTTGACAAGTGTTTCTCTCACACAGGATAGAGGTTGTTTACTAAAACTTGGTATCTTTTATCAAGTCTATGAGAACATTGAACTCTTTTTTTTCTAAAGTGGAAGAGAAAATCTAGGGTTTGTATGCAGTGGAGATGCACCAACCTGAGGTAAGTCAATATTCTGGAAGATCAACTTACAGTCATGATGAGTTGTCTAGAAGGATTGGGGGAAGCAGAAGTTTTCTTTTCTGGACAGTTTGTTTGAAGGGTTGAGATCATACAAAACCATGTGTGTTGTGGTTTGCATGATAGGGGGAATTTTATTTTTACAAGGAAGGTGTTTAACATCTCAAAGGAAAATAGGAGGTCTAGAAAATGTGCTTATGAAGAAACCTCCTAGGGTGTGCTGTCAATTGCTGATTTTTTTATCTGCATATACGGTCAACTGATGAATTATGGATCTCTTGTGTTCTCCCTCAATAGTGTTTGTATGGATTTACTATGGATTTTATCTACATAACCATAATAATTGGTGGAATCCATATGATTGAGATTGATATCTTATCTGATGTCAGAGCATCGTCTCAGGTGGGTTTGTTGCTTCAGAAGAAAGTTATACTGAAGATCATGGGGTGAGCATTGTTGATCATCGATGAATTCCAAAATTGGAATGTCTAACCATGATGAGGTGTGAAGTCTAGTCTCTGATCAAGTATGGAATATTATAAAGAATCCTCTTGTGCTAGGAATGTGAATAAGAAGGATGTCAGAACAAATGTTCGAACATCTGTTGAAGGGGAGTATCATCTGCAGTCGGTGGGGAAGTATTCCTCTGATGACAAATAACTTGTCGGGAGATGGGTATAATTATGATATTATGAAGATGTGCATGTTGTTGATGGTAAAGACCTTGTCAGGAGTTGGGTATTATCAAATGTGTATATGCAAATCTGGTTTCTAAACTCTTTGGTTCAGAATGTTTATGAGAGTTTATTGATCTCATTGGGTATTTAGGTGTCTATGATTACCTGAATAAGCTGCAGAAGGTGTATGATTTTAAGATCTTCTTGTTTAAAAGGACTATTAAGGATAATGAGCTCTTTGAATGATAAAAAAAGAACTATTTTATTAGGTTCTGGGAAGAAAAAGATGATGTCCTAAATGATGTCGTAACATCATTTTGTTTGTTATCCCTGAAGGAGGTATGGGACTATGATTATGGAGGATTGAGAATCAACTTTGTTATCAGAAAATGAATTCTGACTTTGTGGATAAGAATGTGCAGATTCTGATCCTATCTACAGTAGGATGCTTGAAGAATTCATGACTACTATGTTGAAGACTTCACTAGTATTAGAAATTACTAGTGAATGTAAGGGCGGAGGACAAGGATCAGATAGTGTGTTAGGATCAGGAAGATTGTGAAGAAGGTGATTTTTCTTCTGTGAAAAGTATGTCCTCCTGGTATGCATAAAACCAAGCTTTTTGATTGATTGTGTCTGTGTGATGTCCAATCATGTGTGCACGACATCTTGGTTATCCAAAAGAGGTATGACAACTTCTATGGATCTATAAGGCCTTGTATCTGACATGACCTTGAAGAAGTTTGAAGACCTAGAGTCGGGTTATCAAGGTCGTGATTGTTTATATTCACAAGGGTGTGGATATAGTTCAGCAAGTGTGTGAAGTTGTGGCTTTTCACTTTGAGATTGTGAAGTTATATGTATGCTAAAGTGTTTTATCCTCTGTAAGAGATCTGGTTATCCATGACAGGGGGAGTTAGGTCTTGTCTCTGGATGGTTGCTGCAATAATATGGCTATAAGGTGTAATTGTGTGTGCCCTTAACTGGGTATGTGTGATTCTAGCCAGGAGAATCTAGTCTGTATTGTTCTAATCCAAGAGACAGTATGATTCATCTATAAGAATTTATTTTTTTGTAGTGTTTGATGGGGCCTACTGTATGGTCTGCTTGGAGATATCACTTGTGATATTCTGGTATCTTGGGTTGCATCACTCTTGAAAGCTGAAAGGAGTGCATTTGGAGTCCAGTGGAAGACATTGTGTTTCTGCTTATGTGCTTATGGATAAGTTTAGGAGTTATCTTATACCTTGTTGATGAAGAAGCATGTTTGTGCTATTGTGGTTTTTTTGGTTAGTTGCTTCCTTTGTCATATTAAAGCTAAAAAGGGAGAGAAGTATGTGTGTGCGTTTGTGTGCACTAACCACTGATTGTTTAACCACTGATTGTTGGCTGCTATTGAGGGGGAGAATCTCTAATTCTCTAGTGTGATAACAGGTGTTGACGGGGAGTCCCTACTGTTCTGTACTGGAGGGATTTTAAGAGATGTCAGACATGATGTCTTGATATCATGGTGTTGATAATCTAGTTTCTCTATTTGTTGCAGTTCTATTTAGTAGACTAAATAACTACTAAATTCTCTGGTTGTATTGTTGCTCATAACTCTGATGTTATTTTTGTTTTGATGTTGTGCCTCTGATGTGTGTGTTGGAGGAATTTTTAAACATGATTATGGTTTTTTATTGTGCATGGATTATTTGGTTGTTTTAGCAAAAACTTGTCAAAGGGGGGATTGTTATTTCTCTAAAATTATGATTGGCATGAATTTTGGTAAAACTAACTATGCAGAAACATGTTGAACAAGATGTTTCCAGTTTCACATTCAACATGTCGAGTGTGATGTCCTAACCAGATGTATAGGACATCTGGTCTGTTATAGTTTTGCAGTTTGAAAAATATTTCAACTTGCAATTTCAATATGTCGAATCAGATGTCCTATGAAGGAACATACGACATCGTGCCTGAGTTGAACTGGATGTTATAATTTGTTATAGGTCAAGAAGAATCAAGAAGAATATTGAAGAATATTTACTTTCTAACTATGGAGCTAAATTTGGAAGATTTGATTGAAGAGTTATTGTTATGCAGAATCTTCTGCAGAATTGTAACAATTGATGAGTTGTGATTGAAGGCCCAAATCCAGTTTGGAAAAGGTTATAAATAGAAGTGTTTGTAACCTAGTTTTGGTACCAACAGAGAATTTAAAAGATGTAATCATTAGGGGTGATTCTGTTAACCACTCTCTAGGAAAGTTGGTATGTGTGAACCACTCGGGTTGTGAGATGGTCAATGTATTCTCCTTGAAGCTAGAAAGCAAGAGTGAGTATTGTTCTTGGAGGAAGCTTTAAAGCAACTCCAAGTTGTGGTCTTAGTCAAGAGTCTTGGCTAGTGATTGTCATGGAATTATGTCTTTCTGTTTGTTCATAATTGTTATTGATTCAATCGCTATATGTGATTGAAGAAGGATTAAGGAGGGCCTCATATCTAAGTCAATCTTAGATAGAAAACTAGCAAGGGTAGTGATTAGGTCTTAAACTAGAGGTTTGTCGTAGGGTCTATGAATTGATATAATTTGAGTGGATTTTTCCCTGGATTAGTATGCCTCTAGAGTAGGAAGGTTGTTCTGAACTGGGTTAAGAATTAAGTGTTTTGTTTATTGCTTTGCAGTACTGCTTTAACTGTTATATGCCTTGCATGTTTGTTTATGTTGGATCAGATGTCCAAACATGTCATAGGACACCTGAGTTTTGTTATACCATAATTTCAAGAAAGGTAGATAGAATCTTCTATCATGCTCACTTCAGATTTAAACTACATTTGTTGAAAAAAATGCTCTAACCTCTTCACTGACATTCTACATAACACAATGTCTTCTCCATGAATGAGAATTATCATATTATCATTGTCTTTCACATGAACACCCTCCATATTATTGGCATTCATCATAACATACCTATTGAGGAAGATGATTTTTACACTCATGTGACATGACAATATTTGTATCAGTCTGGTGGCTCCAAGAATGGAAATGGGATCAAAAGTTTCAGCATCATAGAAAATGTATCCTTCATCATAAGATAACATAGAGTTTTTTGATTTGACAAGATTAATGATATCAATACTTTAATCATTTTAGGAAGTCATATCATTTATAGATTATGTGCCCTTTATGATCAATTTATACTCCTTACTATTTGAAGTACAAATCATCTGAATGCTTTCATTCTTACTTATTTCACCTTTAACCATTGTTTTCACATCTTCAAATGCATGATCATGGTTATTAACAAAACCACCATAAGATATAGTAATATCAACCTCAACATATTTATGGTCATGATTATCATTCTCCTTATGCACTTGAGAGTTTGTCAACATGTCAGACATGATGCCTGGCACATGTTTATCACCGTAAGGATTTCTCAAATTTGTTTCATAGGAATCATCACCATAAGACATTATAGTGAGATGATGATTTCTCATAGGCACATACCTGAGTGGAACATCACTCATATTTCCACCATCAGCTAGATCAGAGTTAATAACAAGTGGAGTATTATGGAGAGAAATATATGATACATACATCTTATAGCTAGACTTCAATACACTAGTTTCAGCTTCACCAAACACCCTGTCTTGTTTTTGGTTAATCAAACCTCCATACTTATGAGAAGGCATTTTAATAGGACGAGTGTTGACATAACCATTATTCTTCTTTAACTTCTTCATCTGAAGCACCATAGGTTGTTCAAAGTTGGGGGGACCTCCAGTCTGACCATTAAACTTCCCTCCAATGCCACCTTCTAGCTTGAGCCTAAAACCATCCTTAAGAGATGATTGTTGATACATATTATCGGTGGTTGGTCTTTCCTCTTCATAAATATTTCCTTTATAAATCTTGAGGTTATGCAAACCCCTAATGTCTTAATCATATAAGACCTTCTTCATAAGAACTTATTTACCTTTTTTAGTTACACTATGTTTAAATTTGTTGAAGTTCACATTCCATTTTTTATCATGATCATGTTGGAAGTTAAGAATTTTCTCAATAGTACCTTTTCTCGGTCGGGATTAACTAATTTCCCTAAGCTCTTGATTTTTACCTTTGGTATATTTCCAAGAGTGACATGCAATATCTTTTCTCTATTTATATGCCCAGTACCCCCATTATTACAATATCGTCCTTTACTTGAGGAACCTTTACGTGTAGTATGAGCTATGGAGCCAGTTGAAGTAGCATTGGGTTTCCACTTATTCTTGTCATGGAATTTCTTGCATCCTTTGATCCTTAGTTTTTTTTCTACCATGTTGATGATATTGGTGTAGTTTGCAGAAATAAGGCCATATATGTTCATATTAACCACAATGGTGACATTTCAGAGGCAGTTTCTTGTTACTACTGTGAAGAGGTGACACATGTTGTACACAATGATGCGACATGTGGTCCAACCTCATAACCTTAGTCTTCATTTCAGGAAGAATAAATTCCGTTGAAGGAATATTTGTGTTTTTCTCTTTCATGCTTCTCCCAAATTTTATTCTCTTCATGTCTCTAGATATCTCTCCAAACTCCACTATTCCATCAAGCATATTCAAATTCCTTTCAGATTATTTTATGTTTTCTATTTTGGAATTTAGATTTGAAACCTTTTTTCTACATTTGTGATGGTTAAGGAAAGCTTCTTTGTTTCCTTCTGAATTATTCATAGGTTTCCTTCTTATCGTATATTGTTAAGCATGCTTCTTTCCACTTGGTGTGCAAAATCATGATTGATGCATCAAGCTCTTATTCAAACATGTCTTATTTACTAGACACACTTTCAGACTCAAATTTTCCAGAGTAAGCCATCATAATACTGGAAATTTCTTCCTCGATTTCATTATCATAATCAGATCAAGTGATGGAAAGTCCCTTTTTCTATTTCTTTATAATGGTAGGGCATTCTTCTTTAATTTTACCAAAGCCTTAACATTTAAAATAATTAGTATTCTTGTTGCCATTGGGTTTTTCTCCACTCTTGAAATTGTTATGGGGACTGATGTTAGGAATCTTTTCTTGGACATTTATCCTCCATTTTATGTCCAGATACTTCAAGGAATTATGGAACTTTTTCCCAAGAAGAGCTATAGCATCTGACAAGCTCTCTTATTTATCATATTGACTTCCAACTTCCTCAATGTTAGAAACAAAGGTTATACCTTTGTTCTTCTTCTCTATCTTGGAATTGATGGATATCTCAAAGGTTTCTAAGGAACCAATGAGTACATCAACCTTAATATTGCTCAGGTCTTGAGCTTCTTCAATAGACGTCACTTTCTTATCAAACCTCATAGGCAATGTGTTGCACCCCAAAATTCTCCCTTTTCATTTTAACCCTAATTGGCTTATACTTCATCGTCATATGCATCCTTATATGTCTTAGAGACAGATACTCATGGAATCAAGGCATATCTCTACAAGAAAGAGTTGCGAAAATTGATTGTTCTGTTAAATAATATTGTAAGGCAGAACTCACGGTTTTCTTGTTTTTAATGCATGTCGCATGTATTCCAAGCTATTCAATCAACAAACAATCAATTCATCATCATATCAAGCTCTTATGTGTCTCAACATGCTCTGAATTGTGTAGAAAGCCAAACGTTTCATTTGATTTGAGACAGTGCAGACGAAAGTTCGGTACACTGCATTTCAAGCTTATAAATTCATAAATTGAGATTGTAAAATGGTTTGAGAATGATTATTTAGTATTTGAAACCGTCTTTAGGTCTTCTTCATTTCATTCTTTCATGTTAAAGGCTAATTTTGTATGGAAGATTTTCTAAAGCGCAAAATACTTGATATGCGGTATACAGTGAATTTACCATTTTTCTAGTTTTGGATGCCTAAACATTCGTAACTTCCGACTAAAATATCATATTTGAGTGCCTCTTGGAGCATTTTAATTGTCTTGTTATTTCCTCCAACTTTTGTCTTTGCCTCAGTAGCCAATTCATTGAGGAAGATCTCTGAATGTGCGAGTGCTCAGAAGCTATACAGTGAAAAAGTAGTAAAAATACTATGCTGAACCGTTATTTTTCGTACGTTTAAAAGTTCATAACTTTCACTCGGTTTGGGGCTTTTGAGTGGTTCTTTGGTCAAAAAATTTGTCTTGATTTTATCTTCGATCTGTATGTTCGTGTCAGAAGCTAATTCTTTGCAGAAGATTTCCAAAAGTGCCAATTACCAAAGAAAATTGTGTGTTGAAGTGGTCTTCTAATGGAATGTTTTCCAATATTATTAAAACCATAACTCTCTCAATTTTTATTTTATCAGGACGATTCTTGAAGCATGAGTTCAGATATTTGGTAAGCTTTAACTTTTCTTCAGAGCTCGAGTACAGATTGTGCTCTGAAGGTTCCGGTTTATGGCTCACATCTGAAAGTGTGCACAGAAATAAGCTGAAATTTTCAATACAGTGTAATAAGTCCATTGTTTCTCGCTATTTGAAACAGGGTGATTCTTTTGGCACGATGTCACAAATTTCTTTTCTGACATTTTTGCTTTAGGCCTCAAGCTCGAATTTTGCACCGAGAGGTATGACCTTGTGGTTTGTTTGCGTGTCGTACATAAAATAAGCTGTAAAATTCTGCACTATGTATTTTTACACTGCATTTCTTGTCGTTCAGGGCGACATAACTTTCTCAAATTTTATCATATCAAGACGATTCTTTTTGTTCCGCATCACAAATTTTGTCATCAAGAGCTTTCTTTCAAGTCGGGCATTAAGATTTCGCATCGGTTATCATGAGCTTGTGGTTCGATCTCGCACTGTGCATACAATAAGTTGAAATTGCAAGTTTGGAGCCAAGGCTATATATTTTGAATTTCAAATCTCAAACACAATTACACACTCATTTTAACATTTCACGAGATCAAAACAAAAAACCCTCTCTCTTTGTATCCCAACTCTTCTTCATCTTCATCAAGAATTTCAAGATCTCAAAATCAAAAACTCAAAAAAATCTCAAATCTCCTCCCTCTCTCAAACGCATAACACTCCGACCTCCACCTACCTCCATCGGTTCGCCTTTGTGTGATGTTTTCTCACCACTAAAAGCTCTCTCCGGCCACTGCGAACTTGCGACCAACTCCTCTATCTGTTGCGTGATCACGACCTCTTCTCCTCCTCTCCGTCGCGCCAATTCTGGCGGATTCAACACTCCCTCCCTTCGTTCACGTTTGATTTCCGGATAGCATTTTTATCTTCTTCAATTCATCATTCTGTTAATTGATTCCTATACTTTGCTTTGATTTGAATTTTTGAGTTGGATATTCGTGAATCTTAAGTGTTTGTGTTAATGCTTGAGAGATTTAATTAAATTGTTTTGAAGTATGAGATGAATTTGATTCTTGAAAATTGGTAAGACTTAATTCTTGAATTTGTGTTGATGATGATGATTAAAAGAGGAATTTGTTGAATAATCATTAAAATATTGTGAATCTTGAATTTCAAGTTGAGAATTGTTGATGAGATTTTGAATTTTTGAATTGTTGGAGTTTACTTGAACATTATGTGAATTATGAGATTATGTTGATTCTTGAATTGATTATGAGCATTGAATTGATTTTGCATTATTTCATGAGTTGAATATTCTTGAAGCATTTGTTCATGAATCGGTGCTTTGATGCGATTTCGGTATAAATTTTCATATCACGGTTAAGAACCATTATTCCCCCATTTCGCTTGCCTCGGCGATTCAATGTCTTGGCTAAGCATCCCTTGATCCTAGCTTGGTGATTTGATATCATGGTTAGGTGCCCCATTTCCTTTGTCCTACCTCGATGATATAATATCTTGGTTACTCATCCCTCTCCTTATCCTACCTTGGTGCCATTATACCTCGTTTAGGAGCGTTCTACTTGAGTGAGTTGATACTCCTCGAGCTTTGTTTGTTTGTTTTGGTTGCAACTTTGTGTTCGATTGCACTTATGTTGTGTTTCTCTTTCTACCTTGGCATGATCCCTTAGGATTGCTTGTTTCGTTTTTTATTCAAGTTGGATATTAGGTTGTAACCTTTGCATGTTCCCTTAGGATTACTTGTCTCGTTGTTGATTCAAGTTGGACATTAGGTTGTGATCTATGCATGCTAATGTAGGTAGATATTTCCCCTTTATCCTTGACCTTAGGACCATCATTGTATGATAACATTAGGGATTAGATTTAGGATAGTTTCCCTTGTTATTTTCTTTTCTTTTGCATCCATAAAACTAAAACTATTTTCTTGTAAAGTGCATAAAACACTCTAATAATACAAAAATCCTTTTTCAAGGTAAAAAAACACTAACCAATGCAAATCTTTTTGTCTTCGGACTTTCCTTTTTTCTTTTAAAACCTTTTCAATAAGGATATTTTGTTTCAAAGTCGAACAACTTGGAAATGCTAAGTCTGCGAGGGGCCGAGCATGAGTCTCTTTATGAGCTATAACGTCAAGCATGAATAGCAATCCTAATTGTAAGGATGTGAATGCGGCATTATCCATAAAAAGCACAAAACAAACGGAAACTATTGATCCAAACTACGACGCTCTACTTCCTTCAATGGGATACGTAGGCATCTAGTCATGGGGCTCAGGCGAGCGAAACTTTGTTAATATTCCTTCTTTTCCTCGTGTTTTCTTTTGCATGCATTCCCTCTTTGATTTTTCTTACTTTAGACCTTAAGATGTATAGTTGAACACACCCTTTGATTAGAACAACAAGTGTGGATCCCGTGGAGTACCACGGACGTGAGGGGTGATAATACCTTCCCCTTACGTAATCGACTCTGTTAGTCATATCTCTCAGTCGTTTGACCTTGATTTCACCCTTCCCAAGTTTACTCGATGTTTACCTTTCCCTTCCCGTGGGATAAAAAATGTTCGATGGTGACTTCATTGATTTCATCTTGGTGGTTCGTTCTTCCGGTTGTTTTAGCAGGCGAATTCACTGGGGAGAAGAGATTACTCCAATTGATGGTCCATCTCGGAGTCACTCCTAGCTCTTGTTTTCTTTTCCTTGGGTGTTTTTTATACTTTACAATTTATTCATTTGTACATGTTTATCTGAGCATATGTTTGCATTGCATCTTTACTACTTTCCATATACTGGTTTTTGTTGTGTTGGATTATGTGTTTCCTTGTTGGGAGAGTGTTACTAAGAGGTAAAAGGTCCAATACCCAGACCGAGTGATAAACAGTAGGAACACTAGGAATAGAGTGGAACATGACGGTTAGTAGATGTAAGTCCTACTAGTGCAGATATGTCGTCCATGCTAAGATGGGGTTCAAA